CCAAACAAGCTCTTCCTCACGGSCACATGGAGCTGCCTGCGCTGCAACTGGCACCCACTGCCCCTTGKCCTGGCACTGGCCACCACTGAGAAGAGTTTGGCCCCATCCTCTCTACATTCTCCCCTCAGGTATTTATACATGTTGATCAGATGCCCTCCCAACCTTCTCATCTCCAGGCTAAACAGGCCCCTCTTGCTTAGTCTTTCCTCATAAGAGAGATGCCCCAGTCCCTTCATCATCTTTGTTTCTCTCCGCTGGCCCCTCTCTAGAAGCTCCACATCTCTCTTGTAGTGGAGAGTCCAGAACTGCAATGTTGGTGGTTGTCACCTTGGAAAACGGGTGGGAATAGCTTGTTGACTGGGATAAAATAAGTTGAGTTAGCAGTTTTGGGAAACAGGTTAACATTGGAGAGGAACCTGCTCCTCCTTGGAGCCACTCAGTCCTCATTAAACATGGATGTTGATCACTGTGTCATTAAGTCACTTGCCCCAGTCTGCTCTTGTGCCTCCAAAGCATGAAGATCCCTGAAACGCATCTGCAGTGTGCACAATCCTGGCCTGCATTCTGGTTAGAGCCCAGGTAGGATACCAGCAAGTGCATAAAATCTTTTGGATCTTCTCCATTTACCACTGTAGAATAGTCCTCATATAAGAACCCTGCTTTCTTGTTTGAGGTGAATTTTTAGTAAGAAATGAGACATTTTCATGAGACACCCTGGAGGTGGCATCTCTGTGACAGGGYGGCACCACTGCTCCTCAGCTTCTTGCTGCAGTCTCTCCACTTGTTCGTCCTTGCCTGTTTAGCAGTTCAGAAACCCCATAACTGTTCGACATTCTCTGCTGTCCACCCCCTGATCATGCAGTAGTTGTTTCTTCTGGGCATTACGGCTGCTTCGTTAAAGTTCTGCTTCCYTTTCACCCCCTTCTTTTGTCCTCCCGTTATGCCAGTGTGTATTTGGCCACAAAATGATTCGACATTTAGAGCTACTGATTAGGATCCAAATGCTGCTCTGACATTTACTTGAAACTCCATGTTTTTATTGCTAAGGCATCCGACTTAGGGAGCTAACTAATACAAGTGTGTTCAGATTCATATCTGTTAGGGATAAGTCCTGTGACTAATGATGTCCATAGATGAGTATCTAAATACTACTTCTGTCCACAGCAGAACTCTCCTGAGGAGAAACGTGCTTAGAGTCAACGAGCAAAACAAAACATCTCTCAAATAAGAGCATTTCTGGTTATTGCATCTTTTGTAGACACTTACCTTGTCTTCATCAGCATCGTGCATTGAGGAACCAAGCTAATTTTAGAAGGAAATAACACTAGGACAAATTGAGCAACTGGCCCAGTTCCACCATCGGGAGTCATTGTTAATGATCCCAAGTATTTTTATTTTATTTTATTTTATTTTATTTTATTTTATTTTATTTTATTTTATTTTATTTTATTTTATTTTATTTTATTTTATTTTATTTTATTTTATTTTACATAAACTGTTCAAATTAGGTAGAGGACCAATAACCAATATGGCTACTTCCGATTCCTCTTTTTCTCCCCTTTTTTTCACCATCTTCTTCATCCTGCTTCTTTCTCCCGTATTTCCATTCTGCATGTGCTTTCCTAATGCAAGTCTTACGCACAGAAGCTTAATTTACCTCTTCTTTGTGCTAGATTTTCACTACCCTGATACCTCAAAGAAGCGTGGTGGTGGAGCAGTTTGCGTCTCTGATGTATGTTCTCTGGCTGCGGAGAGCTTTATGAGCACTTACCGTTGCAAGATCTCCCTCACAACTGAAGGCATTAGCAAATCCTGCATTTTTAAACTTGCARTCTCCTAATTCAAGGCTGACTGTAATCAACGGTTAAACTCCCAGCAATCTTGTTAGGAACGGAATTAATTCAGGTCAGTGCTTTCAAATGACTCACCCTCAATTTCCACTCACCCCTAATGCTACAGACCATTATTTATGGGAGCTGTTCTAACAGGAGGCATCAGTTTATCGTACAGGTGCTCCAGAAGATTCAGCGCGTGGGCTGCCGGCTCTCCGTGAGATACYGCGTCCTCTGAGCAGATTTTTCCGTGATGGGTTTTGTGCTCTCGGTCCACGTGATGTCAAACTCTTGAGTTCCTGAGGAACCACCACACGGGYGGTTCATGCTCTGCTCGTACAGGATCCGGCCCTTGCTGCTGACCCCGGGCTCAGGCAGCAACGTTGTCATTTGGCCTTACCCTGTAAGGGGAGAAGGTGCGGAGCCAGACCCCTGCTTGCCCTCATTAGATATTTTTGTGYCTTAATTAGATCCCCCATCCGGCCACTTCAGAGCTAAGTATTTTAAGCTGTTCCTCATACGACATATCTCCCATTCCGCAGCATTAGTCTTCCCTATCTCCTCTTGGATCTTACCCAAAACGCACATGTCCTCCTTTAAACTGCATCCTCAGCCCGGAACACAGTGTTCCCAAAAGAAGTCCTGATGAGAGGAGGGCATTAAAGGGGGATTGTATCATTTCTTTTGCTTTATGAACAGATTCTCCCCTCCGCCTCGGAGCTTTTGCTCAGCTTTACCTCCAACTGTTAGCTGTGGGGCTCTACAAGGAGAAGGAACCTTCCTGCTGCTTTAATTCCTCATTCCRTGCCAGAACACTGGCTGTGTTTTAGCAGAGCTCACCGCTGAAGGACACACCAATATCAACTGTATATCTGGATTACTGCTGCCCGTTTCAGTTTGCAAACAAGTATCCTTACCCCAAATTACTAATTTACGTCCAATTAAAAAGTTCTTTTTTTTTCCCCACAATTCTGCCATCCCTTCTCATGTATCATTTACTGCTGCCCTTAGAGCTAAAACRTATCTTTAAGGACATACCTTTAAAGACCTCTTTACAAGGACATGCACATTGAAATGAAACATTTTTCCATGAGGGTTATAAAGAGCAGCAAGAAAAAAAAATATATTAAGACTGTGGTGCATAGGAGAGAATTATAAGTGTTTATTTTATCMCGGCTAAAATTGAAGGTGTCTTTATTTAAGTGAGAATTTTATTTCTTAACACCGATGTTCTACTCAGAAGTAGTCACCTCAGGCAACCTTAGCTGATAAATTAGTTAGAGACAAGTGGAAGATGAGGGACTCCCTGGCCATAGCTCTGAATCCAYACAGTCAGTGGAAGGAGAACGATGATTCCCGGTGATAACTTAAATCTCAGGAGAGGCTGAAGAGAAGTCTTTGCTTGTTGAGTATTTCATGTTTGATCTGATTCGCTTAAGTTGATCACCAAAATAGCTCTTTCCAAGCTGAAGGCAACCTATAGCCGTGCAGTGTCCTCTCATTTTGCTCATAGTAAATAGTAAGCCCTTCCGCCTGATCTTTTGGGAAGCAAGGGATTTGCATTCATATATTTAACAAAAAGGGAGTCAGAATGGGTTTCCTTTGAGCAAAAAAAGGGCTCCAGTATTTGGAATAGTCGCTTTTTTATACTTAGGGTGTTTTTTTTTTTTTTTTTCTTTTGGAAAAGCAAAATTTGAAAGGTAGGAAAAAATGCAAGGAATGAAAATGCATTTGAAAGGTTCAGAGGAAGCTTTTAAAGCATTTCGTAGTGCTTTTCTCGCAGTTTTTGAGGTGAGGCATTTCAGAGTCTCRTTCATTATGGCCCGCAGTTCTGAAGAGCCTCCCTTTGCTTTCAGAATTCCTTCCCACCACAAAAYGCTCTGCTCCCAAAGTCTGTTTTCAATAGAAAGCAAGATTAAAAAGCACAAAACGCAGAAGACCAAGCTTCAGAAATTCTTTCAAAATAGATAGTTTTCAAGAGGCAAAAGGGCCTTTGTGGTGGCCTGCATTTTTCCACAATACACTACAAATAAGCTCCTACCATATGTTTTTAGAGCCGTGTAGAACTTCTATTTTTTTGGCTGTAGGAAGCAAAGATGCCCCATTTTAGTGCTGCGGGTCTTTCCTGCTTAATTTCCTGCACAGATATCTGCTGCCAACTCGGCTCGGGGTAGGAGGTGGCCTCAGAGAGGCTCCAGCTCCTGTAATCAGCTTTTTTGAGCAAGAAACCTGGGCAGGAGCGGGCCGCCCTGCGCTGCAGGCCGAGGGGCTGCTGGCAGATCCCGTCGTGTCGTCCCCGTGCGGCCCAGCCGGGCGGCACCGCTCAGCACCGGCGGCACCAAATGTTCACAGCTCCGCTGCCAGCCTTCTAACATCCTGCAATTGGGTGAAAATGGAGAAGATTAAAAATAACAATCCGCAGGATGCGTTTTCGTTGACTTCTGAGCCAAAGGAAGGATTTGGCTCTTACTATCTCATGTTTCAGACCCTGCTTTTTAAAATATGTGTGAGATTTCTACCCGACTGCAGTTGGTAGTTTGCAGAAGACTGCAGGCCTCACAGAGCTTTCCATGGATTTTTGAAAGTTTGGATATCAGGGAAGTAGGGATGACTGTGATAATGCGWTTGCTTAAAAAAATACCATCTTCCCAAAGAAGGAGGAGAGTTAGTATTGTGTGACTTGGGCAAGTTACCAAATATCACAAATAATTATAAATCTTTTGCTATCATGACCAACAAATCTGTGAAAAGACCCAGKCCCCATCACTTTTAATAAAAACTGTAGTTGTAAAATTCAAGTTGGGGGCTTTCCCTCTTTGGCCCTATGGATCCACTGCAGTTTCCTATAGTGCGTCCACCTTTTTGTGCTTGTGTCTCTGGGAATTACATTTCCACCTTGTGCCAGGTATATGTGTTGCTACTGAGCATATATGATTACCAGCTTTCTAATTTGGATGTGGAGGCTGATGCTGTTTGCAGCCAAATTTGGTTACGAGGAAAGAATATTAATTATTTGTGGAGTACAACCTGTGGTCCTTGATATTTCTTTATTGTTTTCCATGAATGTRTCATATCCACAGTGTTACAAGAAAAGGACATACAATCTAATGCTGAAAGAGTTAACCTAATGAATGATATCAAATATCAACTGCCTCGTTTTCTTGCTAGAGGGCTGCACTTTAGCTGGCAGAATGGAGAGGAATTGGCAAATTGGACCGGCACCGTTAATTTCACCGATGACGGAGCAGTGAAGAGTGGCAGTGGCACAGGCACCAGGTACCAACCCCCGAGGGAGAAACTACCCAAATCTGACCCCAGGCTTTCTTTATGGGAGAGCATGTATTCTGAGAAAGACATAGTTCGTTTGAAATCTTTTCTAGAGCCTGGTTTGAGCAAAATGTTTTAGTAAGACAGGGGGGTTGGACTAGGTGATCTCTAGAGGTCCCTTCCAACCTTAACCATTCTGTGATTCTGTGAAGATAAGATCAGAGAACTCCCTTTATTTATCCTGTTCTGAAACTTATAAGAAGCACTGATGTGTTGTTGCATGTTTTGTACTTCATAATTTGTAGTAAGACTCTTCTGATTTAAAGTATCTGAGGGCTCAGGAAACTCCATGTGTGGTAGAAACCTGGTTGTGCATCTGTTMAGCTGGGAAAGCTGCTGAAATGCTCCATGGATGTCACAAGCCATTGGCACAAATCTAGGGTCTCATATTTGGGGTGTCTTCCTGGGATTTCAGTTTTACAGAACTCCCTTGTGGGGCAAACTGTTCACTTAGCCATTTTGGCATAGGGAGCACTGCAGCATGGTTGTCTTCAAGAGCAAAGAAGCCTTAGTGCAGAGCAACGTAAGGGGAAATCTCTCTGTGCATGGCTGAAAAAGTGACTTTCAATGTATAGTACTCACAGTCCCTGTTGACTTGAATTTAGAGATCCTGAATCACATGAACCTGAATAGGTTCTATAAATACCAGGAAAATCCTAGAAATTAGTAAAGAAAAAAAATAAGAAGAGAAACAGACGTTTATTACCTGTGATAAGGACTGGTCTCTGTGGGTGAGCTATGTTAGTGATCCCATCTAAGGGAGTTTATTTTGGGCCCATGTGCCCCACAGCTGCTGACAGCGTTTCAAGGCAAGCGGAGGTGCAGAATCCGGCTGCCCAAACCCCCAGCCTCCCGGACCTCCTGATTGGGAGCTGCAATTCCCGGTACAGCTCCGGCTGCAACAGGATCCTGCATCGCTGCTGTGCCGGTGGTTTAACTAGTGGAGGAGGTTTTAGGGAAAGAAGCGGCTTAGCCCAGAGCAAGGGCAAAAATGAACCTGTCTGCCTGTCGCTGGTTTTGTTGCCTCATTTGTGTGGGCATCTGTAGTTTGTGTATTCAGAGTCTTCACTTTGGGCACTTGGGGTATCAGAAAGCAATGTGACAAAATAAAAAGAGATTGTCTTGCTGAGATAAGAGAATTAATAGATTCCTCCCTCCCGGCACCCTTCAGAGAGGCAATTGAGCTGTCACTCAGTGTGAGGGCGAAGACAAATCCCTTGACTGCAAGGTGTGTATGAGCTATGGAGCACTGAGCTACAGTGCTGTTCTCAATCTATTTAACCTTTTCAAAGAGTGAGAGGTTCAGGGTGTAGGTGCTTTTTATACGAATGGGCTCTTGCTTCACAACTCAGGTATAAAGTTCAAATGTGATAATATAAAGATGCCAAATTCAAGTTAGCAGCATGTTAATGACTTGAAAAGGACCTGACCTGATTTATTTGTATATATTTACAAGTCTCCAGTGACATATCTAAAGAGCATAAAACTGAGTCTATGCCAGCATATGCACAGTCAATACCTTTCAGTGCCTGGCTTTCAGTTTATCAWGCACTATTATCTCCTTGCAAAAGGTTTGTTGTTTAAAGATATTAATTGAAATAGATATTATTAGGCTTTTTGGATTATAATTTAGCACTGAAATGGTAACCATTTAATTGATTTGTATCATTTATATTTTTATGGGTATACAGGAACACATTTAGTCATACATTTACACTATTGGCCTATGTATATTCTATAAAAACTGTTTATCTTTCAACCATATAACTTAATATATGCTGTTGAGAAGACTCTGACACCTCATTCTGTAAGACCAAAGTGATTTATTAGATGAAAATACAGACTTCACGAGATCAGTGGCCATATCAAAATGAACAGGGAAGATTAAACTTYGCATACAGAGCATTAAATAGCTCACTAAGTGAAGAACTTCATGCTACCTGACTACTAATGCAGAAGTCTTCTGCAGCCCAAGTGCCAAGAGATGGTTGCGTTAACACCTATACCTGAATCAGCATGTATTAAAGTCACCGAAGACTTTCYCATTGATTTCATTAGGAACTAATTCAGGCCTTAACTAGTGCACAAAGTTGAATCATGGCTTGTGACTGGAGTACAGAAAATGAGTCTGAGGACAACTCCTCAGAGCCATAGAAACCAGGCTGGCCAGGGGGCTTCATCCCAGTGCATTAGGGTAATCTTGCTTGGATGCAGTTTCACCCWGCTGTTCCTCCTTTAATATTGGTTAATTTTTTGCTGGTTATGTGTCAGCCATAGCTTTCCATGGCTACTGCTCAGCTTTCCTTTTCCTCTGTAGCTTGTTCAAGACCCTAAAAATCTTAGAACATTCTTGCAAGGAATTAAGTTAAAAAGTTCTATGTGGTACTGGTTACCTGAAGAAAAAAAATATAAACCTGTTTCCTAGATCCTCACTTTGTTCCTCTATGTTGTCTTTCTAATATGTTTTGCAGTTTACTGGGATTTTATGCCAAGAAGCTGTTTGAATGGTTGGGCTATCGTATTCTCAACCTCTTCAGTTCACTTGAGGTGAAGATCTTGTGATACCACAAGAGCCTTAGATGGTTGAGGGAAGAAGTGAACCTTATGCTTTGGGGTCTGTTAATTTGTACATTCAGTTCTTCAATATGATAGAACTGGACTGTGTCCCCAGTGGCAGCAAAACAGACGGTCTAGTCAATTGGATTCATGTTATAGATCTTTTTTCCCAAGAATGTACCTAAAGAATTGAGCCTTCAAAGCTTATAGGCCAGGATGGCATCTGAGGATGTTCCTTAATTTGCACTGCTGAACCCATAATATAAAGCTGCTAAAATCTTGAGAATCATAAAAAAAAAAAAATTGCTGGCATTGGAAAAATAGAATGTGTTGTTCAGATGTCACTGTTGTGTGTTATATGTGTTATGTCATGCCTCSCAGGTGATCATATGGATAACAAGATCAGAGACTTCTAGCAATCAGTGATGGGAATGGAGTTGATTAAAACAGCCCAAAAGCAGGATATTCAAAACAGGGGAGTCCTGAAATGACATTAGTAAAGTAGGACTCCCTGCAGCGCGTGAGGTGACCCAGGAGCTCGGGCGCCGTGGGGTCACATCTGTCCTCTTCAGGAGGATGGCCTGCAAGATGGGCCTGTCCCAGGCAGGGGAATGAAGTGCAGGACGTGGCCTCATCTTTGCTGTCCCCAGAGCTGTTTCTGCTTCAGCTCCTGCTGTTACATCCACAGCTGTTGGAGTAGAGGTATCTTGGAGAGCGTATTGGGCTGAAAATTTGGGGCGACTTTGGTCCCAAATAAGCAGACAGATGAGGAGAGGACAAATCTGCATTGGCAGGAGTGTGTGTTTGGTGAGTTCTCACTGCTGCTGGTTGTGCGCAGCAGAGCCAAACACTCCCAAATGATCCACGTGTTGAGATGGGAGGACAGGACATCCAAACCAGAGTGGCAGCGAGCAGCAAGTGCCAGTTTGCCAGGAGATTTCGTAGTCCTGTGAAAAAATACCCWCAGGGCATCACAGCTATCATCCAAACTGTACGGATGCGTAAATTGCCTGTGAAGTCACACAGCTTGATCAAAACTAGAGTGTAAGAATAGGGACATCTTGGAGACTTAGCAGATGGATTCATGATTTTTTCTGAAGTTATTTGGGAGGGATGGAGCGCCATCAATGAAACACTTTTAAAGGACAGAAATATGAAAGCCTACAATTGATCAAACTTGAATTTAGGTCTGCTCTGTGGAGGGATTTATCTTGGGAAACTGCTTTTCTTGGGTGTCCAGACATGTATCACATGCCATCCCTTACCAGCAAAACCCTGCAGAAACCCTTGACAGTGTGAATAAACAAACCTAATAAAACATTTCAGAATATCCTAGGTGGAAGATCAGGAGATTCATGAATTAATAATATTTAACCTCATCCAGGAAAATCTCTTGGAACTGAGGCCATGTTTGAGCTCCTGTTTTCTATTTRATTTCTCTGGTTCTTCTGGAAAGCAAAATGGGCTGGAACCAAAGACACTATTTTTATTTTCAGCTTTCAGGCACCGGGTACTGTTTTTCCTTACCTATGTTATTGAAAAGCTTCCTGCCACTAGGCTTTCAGGGGTAGTAGGTCTGTACTCAGTCACCATGTTTTTAGATTAAGCTTTATAAGACTTCCGTACTTCCTGGCATGGTTCTTATAGGTCTTTTCCTATTTCCTTTTCCTTTTCCTTCCTTTTCCTGCACATTGATTCAAACTGTTTTCCAAGTTGGAAGACCAGAACTGGATGTAGTAATCCAGAAGTGCTCTAACCATATAATACAATGAAAAAATGTTTCACTRTTTTCTCCTGCTTGACAGTTGCGTTCCTTTAGTGCCACATTTCATTCTTAGTCATATACTGAAAGGTTGTGATCAGTTGGACCTGTAAGTTTAYCTCTGGTTTCTGCAAATTCTGCCTGTTTCCAAACTCATTTATTCACCTCCCACTGCTACAATTGTTCTTAATTATTAATGTTACCACTTAGCTTTGATAAGGATTCACAGCTATATACAAACTTGTAAAACAATTGTTAGTGTTTCCTAAATACCAAATTTTAAATTCAAATTTATTGTGGAGACCTAGTAGCATTTGAGATGTTCTTGRTGGAAGATTAAAACTGGTCAATGTCAATGCTATTGGCCTCAGCAGTGTGGGAGCCAGGAGAAATATGATCCATCTCTTTTAGATTCGTTGCTTTCTAGGAAGAAGTGGTCAAAAGTTTCATCAGCTCCTATAGAAGAAGGCTACAGCTTCTTCTGCCACCCCTTCCAAGTCCACAGCAGCTAGTTTCTCTCTCCAGGCTTTCAAGCACCAGAAATGTAGACCTATGTAGACAAATCAACACAGACTCTCAAGCTGCAGAAACAGCACATGCAGCAATGTGATTTTTTTTCTTTTTCTCTCAC